TTATAATTTTTTTTCCATAATTATTATTCACATTTTTTTTTTTTTAATAAATCATATTATTTTGTTTGTTGATATTATTTTAATAAAGCAACTACCACGAGCAACTCTCTAGAAAAAGACACCGATGTTCTCACATTTCCAATAGTCTATGAACTACTCGTCCAAGCCTCACTGCAAGAGCACTACAAGCTAACTGAATTGTCAGAATTGTTAAAGTATGTGCAACTAGCCGCCATTAGCTATCCCGTTGACGCCTTAACCAGTTTCTACGTCGATAAAGAGAAAGAGGTCAACGAGAATATTTGCAAAGCTTTGGACGCTACCGAAATTGCACTAGCTGATGCGACACTTAACTTTTCATCAGCCCATATAAACGGTTCATTCGATGCCAAAACGGCGGCGCCAGCAAAAAGCCGTTACTCTGTATCGGTTTTCGATGAGATCGAAGTACAACCTTGGCAACCACATAAAAAAGTAGGTAACAATAAATATATTCATAAAACCTAATAAACTGAATACTTTCAACTAAACTGCGACAGATTGATAACATTGAGCAAACTTCGATTATGAAATTTGTGGCACGTAGCATCTTACTGCTCTTAGCCGAAACTGTGCCCATTAACAGTTTGCTCGCGCAGTTACGCACAATGCTAAGCGATGACATTGAGAAGGATGAGGCCATGGATGATTTCTTCTCGTCGCTTGAGCAATTGATCAAAGCGAAAATGCATGATGTTTGGTATATAATAGTGCAATTCATTTTGGAATATCAAAAGCGCCACAAATGCAACATAATCGGCAAAGATTTCGTCTCCTTGCATTTGTCGCGAGTTTTTCGAAATATCATGTTGAATAAGGACGTCAATTTTATAGGTAACAATGTGCGCCTAGCTGTTTGTGTGTGTGTATTTACTAACCTTTATTATTTTTTTTATTTGCGCTACAGATCTTTTCGTCATGCTCATCGCAGATGAAAATAAAGAATCTTTACTCAAAATCCTGAGCAAAGATTTGAAAACCGACCAGCAGCGTTTAAATCTGCTCACACTTTCAGAAATGTACCATGTGCACCTCGAAGGTCACAATCAAGTGGAGTCAATACGTATTAAGTAAAGTGAAAATTAACGTCATAATTTTCTGAACTGAATATAAGCTAACCTTACTTGTATTCAATGCAGGCGTTTAAAGCAGTACTACTACATGGAATTCATTAAACAAGACTCCAGCATAAAAGGCCAATTCAACCTCGAAACCGATAATATACAACAATTATTGAAATTGTTTTACAATAAGAAGTTGGATGTGAGATGGTTGGAGCGTATAAGTCGAGATTTCAATTTAGATTATCAGGAATTGCTTATAACACAGGTGAGTCGTGCAGGCATTTGCGAAAATTAACATTTTCAAATAAGAAATTATTTCAGGTATTAAGCATTTTGTCTGGGCAGGAGTTTAAATATGACGTAAAGACCGATGCCTTCGGTGAGGAGGAGCTGATTGTATTAAGTACTGTTGACGACATACGCAATTTATGTCAATCATATTTGCATGCGATAAAAAATACCGATTTAATAACGACGAAGTTGTTGCAATTCATAAATGAGGTGAATTACATAATTATATGTTCCTTAACGATTTAGCACTTTATTATTTAAAATACTACAGATCAACATTTATTTTTACGAGCTGTATTTGTATGTTATTGAAATACTGTCATTTTTGGATAAAATGCCCAAAGAAATGGAAATTTGGAAGCAAATGTTACAATTTCTCAAGCATAAAATGGTGAAGCGGCGCCGCAATCGGCCTGGTCCATACGAGACCGACATGTGGCTGCAGTCACAAAGTGAAATGGGTGTTATGCCGAAAATTGCGCGTTTTCGCTTGCCATTCAAGCCGATCATTGAGCAACCACTTAAAGACATCTTGGGTGAGTGCGATTTGTTAAGTTTTGAAACAGTTGCAGAGTGTGCTTTAATATTAGGTGTTTTAAGTTTGCTACGAAGTTTGTAACACAAAGAAGAAAACGTCGGAGACGCTGTACAATTTTTTACTAGAAATCACATTCTAGTATGACTTTTTTTATTTGCAAAGGGTATTCAAGCTTCAGTACAACTGAATTTAAAGTGTTTTTCGTTTTATTTTTTTCAATGTTTCTTATATTATAATTTTTTATT